GGATGGTTTCCAGCTGAACTGCTGTTGTGGATGGAGACTGATTGACTAGCTACTTATGTGCCTGCCTATCTAGTATCTACCGGTCTTTCAGAGTAGAGGAGAAACTTATCTTTTACAGTCATTTAAAGTTATCATACTAAGTATACTGATTTTCATATGACTTTTCCCATACAACATACTTCATTTTTCAACCCTTCTTCCCTGTCCCCCATTCTTCTTGCTGGTCCCTTGTCTAAAGTTTTTTTTTTTAAATTATTTTCTGAGGACTGGGGTTAACACAGTTGGCAGAGTATCTGCCCAGCCTGGACAAAGCCTTATGTTTGAGCCTAAGCACCCTGTAAATGGTGTGCTGTTGAATGCCTGCACCCCAGCAATCCAGAGGAGGAATCTGGATCAGAAGTTCAAGGTCATCCTTGGCTACATATTGCACTGGAGGCCAGCCTCGATCAAAAAGTTTCTTTATTTTACAATGATGTCTATAGATAGAAAGGAAAATGGTAAGATTTTAGGTGCTATATTTTCAGATCAGTATTTTTGTTTGGAAATTTCATCTGACAAGTCATGGCGTTAAAGAACCCTAACTGACTAATTTGTGTTGTCTGACCTTTGTAACTGGGTCATCTCATGTCTTTGCTTCCCGGTTCCATAAAAAGACCTGTCATGTCAGGATAAAATTACCACAGGACGTTTCTTCTTACTTGGCACAAGGGCAGAGAGACCCTTGTCTTTTTCACCAGCCACACAAAGCAGCATTTGCCACCTGCTTGGTTTACATACTGGTTGGCAGAAACTTCTTTTTTCCAGTCAGGCTGCCTGACAGAGCTGTGGCAAACGGGGACTGGAATTTGATCTTAAAGTCTATCACACTATTAACACAACACAATGTGATAGGAAATTTTAAACTCAGAGGGCGCTTCCTTTTTATAGGCTATTTCTTTATTCATTTACATTTCTCTCTATTTCGAACACCTTTAAACAGCCATTGCACAGGCAACGCAACACCAGAGACTGTGGTAATAATACGTGGGCAGAACATTTTCTTTTCTTTTTCCTTTCTTTTTTTTTTTTTTCTTCAATCTAGGGTTTGCCTGTGTAGCTCTGGCTGTCCTGAAACTCACTCTGTAGCCCAGGTTGTCCTGGAACCCAGAGAGGTCCTCCTGACAATTTCTCTGTATAAAACAGAGGTTTTTAGAAACTTTTAAGGAAGATACAGGTTTCAGTGTGGCATGAGCTAAATTAATGAGAGGAAAGAATAAGGGGAAATTTCCCCGGGCTTCTCAGGATCGAAACAGACTTTGTTAAGTTACTTTAGAGTATACTCTATCTTAAAAAAAATTATAGATAGTTGTAGAAATAATTCGAGAGCTTTCATTGTCATGTACACCTACGAGACTTGGTCGAAGTGTGTAAATTATTAATTTTCTTAAAATGTTAATGTTTTATCATCATCATCATTGTGTATGTTTATGTGCGTGTGTGCACACACGTGTGTATGTGTGCACACACGTGACTGAGTGTGTGCGCGCACGTGTGTGTGTGTGTGTGTGTGTGTAAGTGCCCTGAGGTCTGTGTGGAGGTTAGAGGACAACGTTGTGAAGCTGCTTCTCTTGTTCCACCTTTAAGTGGGTCCCAAGGGTCTAACCCAGACCTTCAGGCTTTCACGCCCCTTAGCAAGCGGCTGCCTGCTGCGCCTCTGCCATCCTTATGTTTTAACTGCATGATGAAGATAATATCACATACATGTCATAGAGCATTTGTTAGGATGTCATGGGATGATCATGCAGTTGGTTCACAATGTTTGTCCAGTTGTGTGTGTGTGTGTGTGTAGGTTAGCTATGACCATTATCAGCCACTAAACCGGACCGAGCTTTGAAACCCAAGCCGCAGTGGCGGCGTTCCGACGTGTACCTTGCAGATTGCTTCCCCACTAATCTTTTCTGAGCCTCACCGCACTTCCCGCCACTCAGAAGCACCAAGGGGCCCCTTCACTATTTGCCCATGGCAATCCTCCCAGGGCAAAGGGAGAGGGACCCTGGGCTGGCTAGTAAGGCATGGACACTCTGCTCTCAAGAGATGACTTTCATATTCAGAACAGCCGATGAAAACACCTAGTAAGAGGAAAACACCTGGTGTTCGCCATATTTTAAATTGTGCTGTGTCAGCCAGGATGTTTGCACTCTCATGATTTTTTAATGCTCTGGAGGAATCCCATCTCAAGTGCTCCAAAGACAAAAGGGGAACCTAAAGCAAAGTCTTCTGAGTTTATCAGCCAATTTTCTCTGATAGAAAATAGATGGGTTATATCACAGGTGAGTGGGCTGGCCCAGAAATGTTGCTCTTTTTTTTTCCTTTCTTTCTGCCTAACTTTCCCAAGGGGTATGTAGGCAGATGTCCCGTTTTATGTGGAGAGATTCAGAGACAGACACGTCATTAGCAGAGAGCAGGAACCCGGCCAGGCAAGAGCCAGACATATATTACTTGATTTTTATCTTGAACAGAACACAAAGGGGCTTTGTTCAGAAGGCTTCTGTTTGCTATCTGGCCGTGAGCTTCTGAACGTTCCCTGGCTGCTTTATTGGAAGTTTATTAATTAACTTAGTGCCCGGCAGGAAGAAACGACTCTTTAATCGAAGACTTCAGTAAGTCTGGGATGAGAAGCTCCATTCTAACCTCACTTTACATACAAAGAAATCTGCATTAAACTTATAATCATGGACTTCGTAGAGCATCCTGGAGGTGCAAAGGGCTATTTTCAGAAGACCTGGGTCTTTAATCCTGATTTTGTGTCCACTTGGAGCCCCAATGCCTGCTGTGGCCACTACCCCCTGCTCCTCCTCCTCCTTTTTTGAAACAAGGTCTCCTGTATAGCCCAGTCCAGTCTTGAACTTGTAATCCTTCTGTCTTAGCCTTTGAAGTGCTGAGATTATAGGTATGTTCCACTATTGATTTTTCTTTTTTTTTCCCTACACACTTATTACCATGTTTCTGTCTTTGGAATGTGACCACATACAGCTGTGATGTCATATTTCATCTGAATATGATGTCATATTCAGGTTTTGCCATCATCAATTGTCAGTCTGGGCTCAGAGGTAGAGGGCCTGCCGAGATGCCAGTTTGCCTAGCTAAAAAGAAAACCTACCCTTAAATGCATATCATTGCATTGTTGTATTCTGTAAGTAGACCAATACACCAGTACTGAGTAAAGGGAAGGCGCTGTGGTGGGGACTGGGGAGGACAATGGGCAAAGAGCCTCATAATAGAAATTATGGATTCTTTCAGAAAGAACAAACCAATGAGATAGAGAGACCGCGAAATGCAATACTGGGATCTCCTGTGCTGAGCTCCTAAATACCAGACAGATTTGCTCAGAAACCACTGTCATGATTTTCTTACTTAAAGCCGTTTGCTTTTCCATAATGTTTGGTTAATGTTGAGTTTGATGATTTAGTTAATGGTGATATTTGATGATTAAGAGTGAAGCCAGAGCATGGAGTGGCTCACCTAGAGAGCTGCAGGTGGATGCTGCATGCGCTTAGAACAAACGAAAGGGTGCAGTTGTCTCTGAGGTTTTCACTTGCTGTCCCTGTTGTGGGAGGGTCTCACATGCAGGGGACTCCTGTTACAGCCCCCCCCCCCCCGGGTCAACTCAGAGGCTGGGTGGGATGATATGGGGCATCCTTGCAGGTACCACCCATCTCCTAATAGGTATGCTGGATTCTAGCAGAGACCCCAAAGGCTCCAAATACTGCCTCAGTGTCATTATTTACTGATAGGTGGGGATCACTGCACAGCGGCAAGAGATAAATAAATGAAAGGCCTTTACATCACCGTGGTCATCAAATACCAGACGAGGCCACAAGGCCAGAATGTTAGGGATCAGGAGATCCCTACAACCAAGCTAAACCCAGGAGGGTTTGAGATGGGTTCACAATGGTAATACCAGGGGACCTCTTGCCACAACCCCACCCCCCATGAGTTCAGACATTCCACAACCTGCCTAGCAGAATCCTAACATTCGTGTATGGTTGGCCAACAGTCACAATGCTGGAGGTCACAACCAAGCAATGAATTATCAGCTTCTATCTGGGTTACGGGAGCTAATGCTTCTGGCCTGTGGACTATGATAATGTTGTCTAGGTAACCTCTTAGAAGCTGGGGAGACTGCTTTTGCTAAAAGCCATCGACTCTTCCCAAGAACCCATGGGCTCGCTAATGTATCATTAGAATGGGACAAAAGGCCTGGCATCCTCGTCCCCATATCATGTCCCTTTTGTTGCTGTGACCTTTGAGCCAGACTCTATTCAGCTCTGCGTTTAGTTGTGTTTTGTCCAAGTCCGTAGCACAGGGTGAAATCTTGCCCGCTGCCCTCTGGAGTGGGTATGTTTATCTCGCCCTTCTGCTTTCTTGCCAGCTCAGGCACCTACAGTCCCTCATCCTTATTATAATGGAACCAAACCATGAGGCGAAGACAAAGGTGCCAGCAGCAGGTGGGACTTAACCGCCCTGAAAATCCTAACGGTCCAATGACCAGTCCCCAAGCACAGGCGGGACATTTACACTGGACTTGGGGCTCAGTAGCAGGAGGAACTTCAGCTGCTGAAGCATAAGTCACTTCCTGACAGTCTGCAAAGCCTGAAGGGCAGAATGCTTGCTCATAAAAAGGAAAATACCTCCTGAAACTGTGCCTGTTACCAACTGATGATTACCTTAGCCCGCTCTAAAAAAAAAAAAAAAAACAAAAACAAAAAACAAAACCCAAAAACCAAAAACCAACCAACCAAACAAAAACCTAAGGAAAGTCTGACACTTACTTCCTTTGTCCCAGCAAACAGCCTGGTCACCTCTGGGCCATGTGGCTGAAGTCAGCCAGTGAATGGAGGCCCCAACGCAGACAGAGCCTTGCATGCTTTGTTTTTAGTGTGTGGGTGACTCTCATTTTCACTCCTTCCATGTTACAAGATCCCAGAGTCTGGTTCCTTTTCCTGTCCCATATTTGGGTTTCTTATTTCTTACTTATTTTCTTATTTCTTACTATTTACCTGGTATTAACTGGCAAGCCTGGCTTTTATTTGGCAACCTTATTGTCTGAACTCTGCACATCTCCAGAGACGGGGAGTTGGCAGGGCCAGCAGTGAGTGTCTACGGAGCTGAGAACTGCCGTGGAGACCGTGGAGACCACAAGTCACTGTCCGTTAGTGACAAAAGCCACACACGTTCTGAGAGGTGAGCAGGACACAGCCAGAGTCTCCTTGCCACTTTATCTCCATACCTGTCCCCGAGGGGGAGGAGCAAGCTGGAGAGCCTCTCCTTCACAGTTCCTCCCAGGTCCAGGTGGGCCACGCTCTAAATTATGTGCATTTAAGGACTGGTTTTGTCTGGCAGGCGATGCGATTGTTAGAGAGGAATGGGCCCAGCACCGGGGAAGGGTTGTTCGGAGGGTGAGGGTGGGGGAATGGGGAACACCAGCAGACACACACTGAGAAGCTGCAGGAGAGAGCAGACCTTCAAAACCACACATGTACGGCACGACATTAAACACACAGAATGTTCTGTGACTGATGTTTGAAAGACATTTTGAAGGCTTCGTGAATCACCCTTGTTTCCTTAGCATCGCCTGACACTGCTCTCGGGGACTGCCTACCAAGAACTGAGTATCTCATCCACTCTCGGCAGTCTGGACAAGACTGGCCGGGCTCACAGTGCGGAGCCGTTCAGGCCGGCAGCGTTTCTCAGTTCATCATGGCCAAAAATCTTTGTTCAGCTCCTATGGGTTTTTTTTTTTTTTTTACGAATCCTTAACGTCAATTGTTACTTCTAGTTAGTAGGGGTTTTAGAGGATTTATCACGCAAGCCTTCAGAAATTCCAGAATGAATGACAGTTACTGCGGTTACATGTTTTTGAGAGGTTTTAGTATGAAGTGTTTGACTCAGATTCATGGTCCTCCTGCCTCAGCCTCCCAGGGACTGGAGTTACAGGCATGCTCACCACACCAGGCTAACGCGGACATTGGTGCCCCTAGCACTAACACAGAACAATATGATATCCTGGTACGGGCATCTCTACTTTTCTCATCATTTATTAATATGATATCCTGGGGTAGGCGTTTCTAATTTATTCGCCACTATTTATCTTGACTCTTACGTTTGTGGTGTTTTTGTAGAATTACTCTATTGGAGTGAGGCTGAATTCAATCATAAAGTGAAACCCGGGCTAAGATGGAGGGATTTTCGTGGCGCTCAATTGCTATTCAGTCACACACAGCTCAAGGCTGTATTACTATGCAGCTTCCAGTGCCATGGAAACTAGTTAAGCTTTCCCATGCCTCTGCATCGAAGATTTGCCCGTTAAAAATACAGTTCCTCTGCAAAATCATAGTCAAGAGGGAGGAGCTGTTTCTATATTGCAGGGTTTAAACTAATGAAATAAATCTGCCTTTTGTTGTAAAAAAACTTCATAAATGCCTAGTCAATGTTACTGGTCCACCCATTTTTCTTTTCTATTTCTTTTTCTAAATTTTAACAGGATATTTTAGGTCTCCTGGAAGAGTCACACCATGGCTACCTTGGAATAAAAAGAAATCAGGCTGACTCCAAGAAGCAAGTGTTTTTGGTTAGTCTCAGCCCGAGGAGGGCAGTAGCTGTCTGTCCCTGTGGAGTTTTACCACGGTGATGGAGGGAGGAGCATGTGAGAATGACGGGAGGCGTGGGTGGGGTCATGTGAGGAGACTGTTTTTCTATGTGGCACACAGGTGGGATTTTGTTACTCTCAACCAGGTGACTACAGCAAGGCCACCCACTTTGCGGGACGGCTGCGGCCAGGCTGGGGCTCCTGGCTCACTCACCGGTGCTGCTCTGGATGGTCCTCACTGTGGTGGTGGTGCGGGGAGGGGAGGACGACCTCAGTGAGACGCACTCGTCGTCCTGGGAGCAGCCCTTCTCGATGGCCCGCACGTAGCTGTGGCTCCGCATGCGGAAGCAGCCAGGCATAGGCAGGTCGAGAGCTTCCACAGCCTGCGACTCCAGCTCGCTGAACACAGACTCACACACGGACTCGAACTGTCCGTTCACCTCCATCTCGCTCACCTGTGGGCACAAACACGCTAGTAAACACCTGGCTGGCCGTTCCCCACCAGCTTCCCCCGCCCACTATCTGGAAACTTCATTCCCCGCACGGGCAGCCTCGGTTGTGTGTCATTCCAACGTGTTATTTCCTTTATGCCTCAGATTCTAAGTCGGTGGCATCTAGCTGGTAATATAATAGGCGACATTTTTAAGGAAGACAGCTTTGGGGATGGGGCGAGATCTTAGCATGCAAGACCTCTTGCTTTGTAAGCCAGAGGACCTGGGTTTGAATTCCCAGTACCTTTAGTGAGAAGTGGTGTGCCTTAGGGTTTGAAGAGGCACCGTGACCCTGGCAACTCTTATAAAGGAAAACATTTAATTGAGTTGGCAGCTTATAGTTTCAGAGGTTCAGTCCATTATCCTCAGGGTGGTGTCCGCAAACAGGCAGACATGGTGCTAGAGAGACAGCTGAGAGTTCTACATCGCACAGGCAACAGGAAGTGAACTGAGACATTGGGTGGGGTTTGAGCATATGAGACCTCAAAGCCCAACCCCATAGTGAAACACTTCCTCCAGCAAGGCCACACCCACTCCGCATCTCCAAATAGTGCCACGAGCTTTGGGAGCCATTTTATTTCAAACCACCACACCGGACATGGCTATATGCACCTGTAACAGAAGCATTGGATAAAGCATTGGGCGGCAGAGACAGGCAAATCCTGATAGCTCATGGGCCAGCCAGCCTAGCCAATCTGGGAGCTCCAATTTCAGCGAGAGACCTTGCTTTAAAAAAAATCAGTGGAGAGCAACAGAGAAAGACTTCTCCTTCTTGCTCTGGAACACACACCTGCACACTTCTGTGCATGTGTTCTTTACCTCTCCTCTCAAAGGAGAGCAGTGAAGAAATTCAGGATGGGAAGGAAGCTTTGGCCCAACACCTTCTTGATAATTCTATTTACTGTTTCCACTTAACTTTTATTTTGCATTGCTGGGGACAGAAGCTGGGGATGGGAGCCAGGGCCTCTTGCTGGGTAAGCATTTCATCACCGGCTCTGTTCTTCAGCCCCTCCTTTCTGTGTACACGGGGCCAAGTTTATTGGCTTGTGGTCATGGTTCGCGCACTTCAGTGTAACTTTTTAGCAACTACTATTTTTGTAAGCTATTTTCCTTTGCCTTTTGAAGTGACTAGCTCATCAAATAATTTCAAGGTTGACTGAAGTTCACTGAATGCAGAGTTCGGAGCATACTTTTTTTTTTTTAATTTTGTTTTGCAAGATATATTCTGTACTAAAATAGACCAAGCCTAGATATGTCAGAATCTTAAAAAGCACTATCAAGAATTCAAACTACTTATAGGTTTCACTTTTCATAAAAAATTAATAAACTTATTTTGGAGGTAAGTTTTTAAAGTAATCCTGGCTGTCAAGGATCTCTCTATATAGACCAGGCTAGTAGTGAATGCACAGAGATCCTCCTGCCTCTGCCTTTGGAGCCCTGGTATTGAAGGTATACGCCACTAGGCTAGCCTCATCCATAAGCTCTTCATAAATACACTCATGAAGCTCTTTCATTCATAAAGACCTCTTTAGCAAAATCAGATAATTAAACAACAATAGATTTTAGCCTAATATTATAGTGTATGCCTTAGGTAGAGGCAGGTGAGTTCAAGGCTCCATACTGAGTCCTCTGCCTATTCCTTTGAGGCAGGGTCTCTCTCTGAATCTTGTACTGTTATATAT